GGCCAGATTCACAGGGCTTCTCCCCACGTGACACCGGAGCGGCGTGGGCTGGGGCGGGTTTAGACGCAAGAGTCCGTCGTTAACATGTGCGTCTGCGTGTGTGTCTGTTTGTGAAAGTGTAATATATTACTTCATTGTAGAAAGTCCAGGAAATGAAAAGCTTGAAGTTACCTGCCGTCCCAGTCCCCAGAGAGCACCAACATTAGCTTACAGGTTTGCTTTCTTCTTTTTTTCCATGTGAACATTTTTATGCAGGGAAATCAAAGCATACATTCGCTCCTGTAATCTGCTTTTCTCGTGTCGCTTTCTTCCCATCTGTTTTAAGTCTAAATCTGAAACGTCTTGGAATACATTTGTCTGTTCCACATCGAACGCTTCCTGAGTGCCCCACCGCGTGCCCGGCGCTGTTCCTCCTGAGTGGGAAGGATGTTGATGGCACCTGACACCGCTGTGCTCTTGCTGAGTGCCAAGCACAGGGCTGGAAACTCCACGCACAGCTCCGCGGAGGGGTGCTGGGGTGGTCCAGCAGGACTAGCTAACATGGAGGGCTGTGTTTAAGGCAGACCTTGTTCTCATTGCTTTACTTTCATTAGTTCATTTCTTCTCCATGACAACCCATTTTATAGACGAGCACACTGAGGCATGTGGAAGTTTGGTGGCTTACCCAAGGATACGTAGCTAGAGCCAGGAGTTGAAGCAGGAGTTGACCCTGGCATTCTTTTTTTTTTTTTTTTAATTTTTTAACGTGTATTTATTTTTGAGACAGAGAGAGACAGAGCATGAACGGGGGAGGGTCAGAGAGAGAGGGAGACACAGAATTTGAAACAGGCTCCAGGCTCTGAGCTATCAGCACAGAGCCCGACGCGGGGCTCGAACTCATGGACCGCGAGATCATGACCTGAGCCGAAGTCGGATGCTTAACCGACTGAGCCACCCAGGTGCCCCGACCCTGGCATTCTTAACCAGCATGGTGCCTTGCTTCTCAAGGGAGCGGAGAGCCTTAAGGCAAGGTCTGGCCCGTCTTCCAGTTGTTGACTGGTTGGTGGAAGAGTGAGCTGCTTGACGTGGGGGGTGATCTAACAGAGGTGGGCACTTGGAACCCAGAGGAGCCGAGTGGGATGGGAAAGTATTGCAGGAAAGGAGCCTTCGGGTCTGGTTGTGAGGGATGAGTGAGATTTCAGGAGATCTCGGGGGAGGAGCAGTGTGTGTGTGGATGTGTAACTAGGGCTTAGGGGGTGAGGCCAGGCCGCTCCTGCCAGGGCACGTCCGTGCCTTCGGGGCCTCATACTCTGGTTCAGCTGGAGTGTGCCGCAGAGCCCTCGCCCAGTTCCTGCCCGTGCCTGGGAAACCTCGGGCCCGATGGGACCTTTGGGCGGCGCGGCCTTTGTAGGGCCTCAGTATGTTGGCTCGTACTGGCGTTTCACACTAAGGTTGGTCAGTCCTGCTCGGCCATTTAGAGAAGTCAGCGTGCACTTCGGTACCCCTGGGGCTTTGGGACCTGGCCTTCCAGCACGTACAGCCCACGTGAGCTTCTGTCCTGGCTGCATGTAGCCTGGCATTATGATGCCCCTTCTGTTCCTTACTGGGTTGGAAGGTAGAGACGTAGAGTATAGTAATCAGGCAAACTCATATTTATAGAATGTGAGTTACTAGGTCGTTGAGAGCATTTGGGCCCTTTTACTGGTTTGGGAGCAGAGGCAGCAACTTCTCTGCAGTTGGCTGCTGGCATGCTCAGGGAGCACACCCGGCGTGAGTTCTGGGGCTGCCGTTCAGACCAGGGGCCAGGTCAAACTCCATCGGTGTTTCCCAGAGGCGGCTGCCGCCCCGCGGCCACAGGCAGAGGAGTGACCAGCAAACACGGAGGGTCTGTTGTGCGGGTGGCCATGCAGGGAGACACGGCAGGGCCGCTGGATGTCCTACACACGCAGGGCTGTGCCGGCACATACGTGACGAGCCCGGGCCAGCCACACGGGTTCCCGCTCCCTCTTTTTTCTTTTTTTTAATTTTTATTTTTCGGGGGGG